GGCACAGACAGGCCTCGGGGAGCCCAGGGCCTTTCCGTCGCAATGGCGGCGAGTGCGACTGGGCGTGTGGCCTCCAGGGACCAGCCCAGCAGCAGGGGGAGCCTTCACCCCGTTACACGGGGGAGGGGACGGGCTGCGAAAGGCTGCAGGAGGCCTGGGGCCACGTTTCGGCGGAGCTGGGACCGGAGCCCAGACCAGCTGGCGGCTTAGCCCTGCGGTCAGCTCACGCGCGGCCGGCACACCCGGCGGGAGGGGCTGGGCCTGCCCCTCCACAGCTCCAGAGCCGGGAGGGTGCCCGCTGGCCCGTGCCCCTCTCCCTCCCTTGCATCCTGGGCAGCCGCCCCCGCCGCCCACGGTGACTCAGCTCAGCTGTTACTCAGCCTCCTCGCTTGCTGCCTTTTTTCTCTTTCTCTTCCAAAGGGTGACCTCGCTGCGGTGCTGTGGCAGGTGACTCCTCTGCCGGGGGTGGCCGTGGGACCAGGCCTCGCCCTCGGACTCTGGTCCTGAGCAGAGAGACTGTCACCTCCAGGGCAGGACAGTCCTGGCCTCGGTTCCCCTGAGTGGGGTTCGGGGTCGGGTCACCTGCCCGTCACCCTCTGCAGCCTCACGACCCAAGGACGCAGCACACGCAGGGGACACCTGGGGGGCCACTGGCCTCTCCTGCCTCCTGGACTCCCAGGTCCCGGGGTTCTGAGGTCGGGGTAGTGCCTGGAACTGGGGACACCCCTGGCCTTGGGTGGGGAGACCAGAGACGGTGCTCGAGCAGAAAGCTGACGGGATTGAAGTAACTGAGCAGTCAGACAGCCCGTGCCCTGAGTGCCCGCTGGCCGCTGGCTTCCACCCAGACTTTCCTTCCCATCTGCCACCCCTTTCCTCTTCCTCCCTCCCTGCCCCCTGCTCAGGCCCCTCGGAGTGACCGAATGGTGGCCTCCGGGGGACCTGTCCACCCAGAGCCTCGGAAGCGTGAAGGACTTGAGACGAGGTCTTCCTGGGGGCGTGGCCCTCAGGCCGAGGCAGGTGTCGGAGAGAAAGGCAGGGATGGGAGACTCGGGCCCAGCTGCCACGGCCACGAGGGGGAGAGGCCTGGGGCAGGCTCCGCCTCTGGGCTCAGCAGCCGCTGGGACCTGGGGTGGAGGAGCCCTTTCTGAGCCACAGGCTCGGGGCGGCTGCCCTGGCCACATCCTGCCTCACACGGCCCCACCGAAGGCAGGAGCAGCTCGTTCCCCGACTCCCTTGCAGCTAGAGGTGGGCCTGTGACCTGGGGCCTCCACCAGTCGCCCAAGCAGAGGGAGTAACCCCTGGAAGCAAATGACCCAACTCTCTCTTTCTCTCTCTTTATTGTTTCCGCTTGGTCCAAGGACGGGAGAGGGCTCCGGGGTTAAAGGCAGGGCAGGGAGGGGCTCCGGCAGAAGCCAGACTCCGGAGGCAGAGGGGCTCGGCTCCAAGTGCCTGAGGGAGCCTTTCGCGGAGACACGCCCGCCCAGCCCGGGCGAGTCCGGCCGCCCATCCTCCCAATGAGCTTCACCTGCTCACCCAGGACGGGCTCCCAGGAAGTGAGAGCGCCGGGCCTGCGAGC